GTTCTGACCCATAGCGACCCTGTATAGGGTTCCCAAGGAGTGACTGGTGAGCTTGAACCACCAACCTTGTAGTTCAAATGGCTTTGCAGTCTGGCGCATTAACCCACAGCGCCACACCAGGACTCCGTAACAGCAGCCCAAAATATCAGATGTATTATTGTATTTGGCAAATCTGCTGCACATGTTCTCTGTAAAGTGTTAGAAAGCAAAGATGTCACTTTCAGGACTAAGGTCTCCCTGACCCAAGCCATCGGGTTTCCAATCACCTTATATGCACGTAAAACCAGGACAATGAATAAGATCAGAGAAGAGTTGATGTCTTTGAATGATGGTGTTGTTGGAGTACTTTATACCATGGATGGACTTCAAGCTCACCAGCTACTGCCCGGAAACCCCATACAGGGTCGCTGTGGGTCAGAACTGATTCAGCAGCACTTCATAACAATGACCAGAATGACTCAGTCTGTCTTAGATGAAGTATAACCAGAGCACTCCTGGGAAGAGAGCGGATGATGAGACGTCATGTTATCAGGAGGGAACTGGAGGAGGAGAGGACCTCATGGTTGGTACAGTCGAGAGTGACAGACAAAGAGGAAGACCCTTGACGAGATGGATTCACTCAGCAGGTACAACAATGGACTCACACAGCCAAAGGCTGTGAGGTGCTGCAGCACTGGGCACTGTTTCATCCTATTGTACTTGCAGCTACTGGGAGTTGGAACCGACGGGCAGACACCTGACAACAACCACATCTGTGGCAAAGAACCCTGGTGGCACAGAGGATAAGTGCTTGCTTCGGTAACAGTTGGAACCGACCAGTCACTGTGTGTGGGAAAGATGGGGCCATCTGCTTCTGTACGGATTGGCGTTAGTTGCATCCCTATCGTAGAAATGAACAGCATCAACCTACTACTGAGATTTCCAAACTAAACCCACTGCCACTGAGCCGATTCTAATTCATAACGGCCTTATAGCCACCTCCGTTATTACAGCCATAAGAGATTTTTAACAACTTCTACAAGCCAATTCGTATTTTAGGATGAGTGGAAAACAGGTTGTCATGTCTCGTCATCCCCAGATGGGTACTGGATAAAGTTCAGTGCTAGTTTCATCTTTGTGCTAATCTGTAATACATTCCTGTCACATCCTGGGTCCCATCAAATTAGTGGGAGAATGTCTAGGGTGGAAGTAAAACCACCCAGCTTAAATGTGACTTGTTATTATTCCAAGAGGACTTTAAATGAGAGATTAGACTTACCTGAGAAAGTGAGGAACAATGTCACATATGACGTAGGTGTGGCATTGCAGGATAAGCACTGGACTACTAACCGCAAAGTCGTCAGTTCAAACCTACCAGTCACTCCTCAGAAACCCTGTACACGGTTGGGATGAGTTGAAACCAACTCTTCAGCACTAAACAACAGCAACATATATGTCTACTATGTTTACCTGAGTTGTCTTTTTTGTTTTTTTGATGTTGAGTTGTAATCCATTGAAGGTTGCAGTCTTTGGTTTTCATCAGTAAGCACTTCAATCCTCTCTGCCTCCAGCACACAAGGTGTGTCATCTGCATATCATGGGGTGTTAATAAGCCTTCCTCCAATGCGGCTGCCACATTCTTCTTCATTTCCATGGATTACACACGTATACCATAATGTGTACTCACTTGTTATGGATTCTGTATTCTTAAATCGGCCTCTTTACTAAAAATACAAGAGGGCTTCTCATGGAGAATGGAATGAGAAGACCATGGATTTATCCATCAAATCTCTGAAGCCCCCTCATCCTCATGCTGCTTTTGTGGGCACTCACGACACACCCCTGCTCAGAGTCACAGAAGGCTGGCCTGCTGTTTGCTAGGAGCCACTGGGTGGGACAAGCAGTATGCTCAGCTGTTAGCTATGAGGTTGGAAGTTTGAGACCACTCAGAGATGCCGAGGAAGAAAGGCCTGGCAATCCATCGCTCAAAAACCAGCAGTTAGAAACCCTAAGGCTCTCAGTTCAACTCCAGCATACACGGGTCCCCGTGAGTCGGAGCTGATTGGACGGCAATTGGTATTTACTAATTCGGTATTTTGGGGAACTTTATAAAAGGACCGTGGATCATGAGCCGAGGCTGTACATTGTTCGTATGTTTCTTAGTGTGTTGTCGGTACATTGTAAAGAGTTGGAAGAACAAGATGGCATCTGGTTGCCACTACCAACTGCTCTGAAAGGGACCACATTAGAAGGGTCTGCAGAGAGTGGAAGAAAAATATGGAACAAAATTCACTATCATGAAAACACCAGACTTACTGGTGGTGGCCGAGACTACGGTCCTTAGTCTCCCTTCAGGTCCAGAATTGGACGCACTCACATGGCTCTATCTTCAGACACACAACAGACATGCCATAAGGAACCGGAACACTCGAGTGAAGACACACTCTCTTAGGATAACCAACCATTTGAGATATAAAGAAAAGGCAATATTTACTCAAGGGCAAAGCTCAGAAGGGTTAGGAAAGGAGGAGGAACGGAAAAGAGGAAACCCAGGAGGAAGCGACATGAGTGATGTTTCACTGTAGGTATTACAGTCAGTGAAACAAAACGTGTGTGAATTGTTGGATGGAAAACTGTTCATCTGCTCTAGAAACCTTCACCCAAAGTACAAGTTAAACAAAGACGGAGTTGGATGGGACTTTGAGGGCTGCCTGGCCTGAATCCGGAGCTAGGAGACCCACAGGTTCTGAGACCCGATCAAGGAGAGGAGTGGTACCAACTCTCAGGGGTTGTGGTAACTGGAACCACCTGGTGGACCCCACCTGAACCTTGCTTGCTCAGTGCAGAGGAGTCCAAAGCAACCACTGGGAAAAGCGCCATGTTTATTAGAGTGAGACCACCCTCACGTCACAGCAGCGGAGCAGAACCCAGAGGCTCATGGAGAAGCCCCACGGCGTATCCTCTCCCACAGGGGCCTGAGGCATGGTCATGAGGACTCTGCCCAGAGCCTGATAGCAGGAGACACCAGCAGCGTCGGTCCTCGTCAGCTCAGACCCCTCGGTCCAGTTCCGGCAAGAAAGGTTCCCAGAACCCAGTACCATTTTCCAAGTACGGTGCACAGTGAGGAGGCGGCCTCACCACTTAGTCCTGGCCACTTGGCCTCTGGGTTGGGGCTGGGGCCAGCTCCCCAGAAATGTCTTGTCCTTATGTTCCAGGCCCCGAGGCCAGCTAGGCCTCCTGCCCCACCAGCTGCAGCCTGGCAGTCTTGACACGCTGCGCTTCCTTCAGGTTTCGTGCGCGCACGTCTGGGTTCCAGATGAACTCCACTTGCTTCAGTGGGAACCAGCCTCGCTCCCCATCCGACAGCTTCACACCCTCCAGCCAGCCTGGGGGTGAGTAAGGGGCCAGTTAGCTGGCAAGACCTACCTGATGCTCCTAGGCCCTCCTGGAATCCCAAGACGGAACACATTTCGGGGCCCCAGGAGGGCTTCCTAAGTGGGAGTCCAGCTTCTAGTCACTGACCATGGCCAGTCCCAAGTGTTTAACGTCCTTTCCTGCCCCCCCAGTGCTGGTCCCTCCTCATACCCACACCCCCATCACACTCTCCACTATCCACCCTGCCCTCCAGTGCCTCCCACTCCATCACGCTTCCCCCATCCCCTCGGCCCCAGTGCCCCCTCACACCCCCATCATGCTTCTCCCACTCCCCCATCATGCTTCCCCCATCCCCTCGGCCCCAATGACCCCCATCATGCTCCTCCCACACGCCCATCATGCTGCCTCCCATCCCCTCGGCCCCAGTACCCCCTCGCACCCCCATCATCCTGCCCCCCACGCCCACCATCACTGCTCTGTTGTATCACCATCACCACGTCAGCCTTCTCCAGTGACAGCTCGTCATTCTCCCGGGACTTGTAAGCTCGAAGGCACTGCACCTGCTGGGACTCTGGGTGAGAAGACGGAGGCACTGGAGAAGCTGGGGGGAAGACTCCTGCCTTCCTCACCCTCCAGCAGGGCCTCAGAACTCAGTCTGAGTCCACTTCCCAAGTGCCCGGTTCAGGATCTCTGTGTGAACAGACCCTCTCCGAGTGAGTCCCTGTTCCTCTAAGCCCTGCTGGCTGGGGACAGCGGTGGACTGAGATGGGGCTGGAAGAACACCTCCCCAGTGTGGACACTGAGCGTGGGGCAGACACTGCCATGTTCTGCTGTTGCTCTGAGGCACCATTGAGTTAGTTCCAACTTAAAGCAACCCTATCTATGGTTACGAATCGGGCTGCGAACCTCAAGGTCAGCAGTTCCAAACTACCAGCGGTTCCGTGGGAGAAAGATGAGTCTTTCTGCTCCCGTAAAGATTTACAGTCTTGGAAACCCTGTACAGGGTCACTATGTGTCGGAACCGACACCCCAGCACATCACCACCACCACCACCACGTACAATAGACAGGACACTGCCAGGCCCCGCGTCCTCCTCACGTCCATTCCCACATCTGAGTTCATTGTTAGAGCCACTGTGCCAATCCATCTCGATGGGGGTCTTCCTCTTTTGGGCTGATCCTCTATTCCACCAAACATGCTGTACTCCTCCTGATGACATGTCTGAAGCACGAGAGACGAAGTCTCGCTTGCCTGGCTTCTAAGCACAGACTTCTGCCTGTACTTCTTCCAACTTGTTCTTCTGGCCGTCCATGGCACGAATGGTCAAGCTTTTCACCAATACCATCGTTCAGAGGTTATTTCCACCAATACC